CGGTCACATATGCTGGCAAAACGTTAGGAAACAAAACTTCCAGAACACGGCCACACAGCCCGGAAGACCCATACCAGCCATGGTTCTAACTTGTGTTTAGTCATAAACTTGGTGGTTCACCTCTTCTTTTCTTCTTGTTGAACTTTTTCTTAATGTTCAGCTTAGAATTTCAAGGTGCTGACTTGGTTCTGTAATTTTGATAAAAGAGATTGGAGGGGAGGGTGATCACACTGATGTCTAGGTTACACATCTGTCCCCCTTCCTGAGTGCGGTGACCTAAGGCCTCAAAAAGAATCTGACTTAGAACTGCAGGAAACTCCCCCAGAGAGATCAGAAAGTCATCTAAATAATCACTCCATTGAAACTGATTGAATGTTCTCACAGAAATCACAGGTAGTCTGAAGATCCATTTAGTCTGACTTCCTTTTCGAGCCATCTGTCCTGATAGTCATCACCATATTTGCTGATTGCAAATTCAGCAATTGCAAAACAGCCTGTGCACTTTCTCTCATCTCCTGCCACCCAGTGTCACTGAATTATAATATTATAGGGGGAAGATTTGTCCACTTTTCTGCCACAGCATTTGAGTTGCTCATTGCTTTTCTAGTTTTTGGAGATCCAAGAGTTCCAGCTTGTGAGCCCTTCAAGATAGTCCACACCAGGAAACCAAAACCAAGAATACTGATACTACCTTTATTTTAAGGTTACGGTAACAGATTCTTGCAAATCTAAACACACTTGCTCCCTCCCCTGCCAAAGAAATAGGGAGGGTCAATTCTGAGATGCTTTCTTTTTTCTTTTTTCATAAGAACTTTATTAAATTTCAGCAAAGGATAAGTTATAAGGAAACAGAAAAAAACAATTGAAAAAAGGAAAGATCAGAGAAAGAATGAAATTCAAAGTGCAGGGAAAAAAAGATAACTTCTCACTTTTTGGTATAGGTACAAATATATAATACATTCACCTCTTACTCTAGTGTTTAAACTAATACAAACTATTTCTATAATCATAAACAGTATTAATCCTCAAATCCCAAAATTAAAGTTTCATTTCTTTCAGTTTTAAGCAAAAAGTCCAAAAGTGATTTCCAAGTAGAAACCAAGCTAGTCAAAGTCTTTTCTTTAATCAAAATAGTCAATTTTGCCATCTCTGCCAACTCCATTAACTTCACCATCCATTCTTCAGTTGTAGGTATTTGTGGGTCCTTCCATTTCTGCGCATATAAGAGTCTTGTTGCTATTACCATATAAAGGAATAAAGTTGCATGTTTTCTTTCAATCTGTTTATCCACCAGACCTAAAAGAAAGACCTCTGGTTTCAATTGTACATCCATTTTTAAAATCTCTGGATTAAAATACATATCACATCCCAGAATTTCTTAGCCTTCTTGCAAGCTGAGATGCTTTCTCCACTCCCTGGTTTGGACTCAGATTCCTCTTATCAAACCGTTGTCTACGCTACAGCTCTTCCTTTTGTCTCTCAAGGTTATTCTTACAACCCATTACACAACTCTCCCAACTCATCTATTAAAGGTGATAGATCTACCTTTGGATTCATTGCAGATTTTCCCTTGTCACAGCTTTATGTTCATTAATATTTCTTTAATTGGAATTTCATGAAGTTTTTTTTATAGTTATAATTGGACTGTGCTTTTTAAACAAGTACATTTGTTGTTGGGCCCAAGCTGAGGAAATCAAAAAGCAGCTTCATTTGCCAAGATTTCAGCTATGCTAAACTGGTCACCCATACTCTGACATTAAGTTTGATAATCCAATCAAAGGGTCTGACTAACAAAGGGAAAAGCAGCTATTTCTCAGCTTCTCATAAGTAATGCAACTTTTTCAGTATCATCTAATTATTGTGTTTGGGGTCCCCACTGTGAAGATCTAAAAAAAGGTTAATATAACATGACAAAGGATTTTTCTACAAATATACATGCACAGAATGGTGCCCTAGAGTCTTGACTAGGGACTTTCTATGAGATGCTCAAAATGCACAGCCCAGTTAACTGGTTGCTTCAGATATCCTTAGTGTTATTTCATGCTACTAATATATCAACATATCATTTGCAGGACATTACTGATTTTCTGAAGAAATTACAAATCTTTGGTTGTCTCCTAGGGAATATCATATTTATACTTACTCAGGTCACCCTATACTTTACCTCAAGTCATACTATACTCAAGTCATACCTATCAAAGCTGCACACTTGCTCCGCCTCCAGTTTCCAGGCAACATGGCCAATGTTCATACCAGCTGAGGTTCTGGAAAATGGAAAAACATCACACCTAAAAGATATTAGATTGTAAGCAGTTGCAAACCTTTAGCCATAATAATGGACCATGGTACATGTGATCATGGATCTTTCTTCCTTTATCTTCATTTCAAATCTGTAGATCAGGTCAGTATACTGCCATTACTATGAATGGGTCTCTTTAGCAGAGATGGAGAAGATGTGATCCTCCATATCTTGCTGCCCTGTGATTCCCACTTCCTTCAAATTGCAGCTCAGCAGATTGTTTCCCCTCTTTGCTCTTTAAGATATCCACATCTTTTGAGGATGGATGGATGTATATTAGATAGAGATGTTAACAAGCTATGGTACTGAAGTTGGTGTTGGCTATTAAGAATTTTGATTATGATACTAAAATCTAATACAAGCTAAACTTAAAGAAAACAAAAAATAGGAGTAAAAAGTACAAGGAAAAAGAAAGAAGAGAAGAAAGAGAAATCCCATTGAATTAGGTGGGATTTATTTTAAAGTAAGAGTGCATGGGTCTCTGTGCAAGTCTGAGTGGATTCTGACCTACCATAAACTGAACAATGTACGCATGTCTAAAGCTTTAGACTAGCACATTCTCAAAGCCCCACATCTGCAACATACAGTGAACACTACTGGTTATCGTACATGGCTATCCTAAGGATAATGCACGAGAAATACTTTAAGCATTTGAAGAGTGCTATATAAGTACAATTAATAATGTTAATGCTCATCAAGACACAGTTCATTCATGTCAGCAAGGAAGCATAATTGTTTTGAGATCATATTTAATGTACATTGTCATCTTCAATCTTTGTAAGCAGAATAGGTTCACAGTCAATAACTGAATGTCTAGAGTATTTTATCTTTAGATATTTAGAAAAGAATGTTTTATATATTAACATTTATATAGTGCTTCTTGGCAAAGCCTATGTTTACCAAGTAGCATATAAAAAGAAACTTAAAGCAAATATGCCAGAAAATATGCTGTATTAAGAGAGATGTAATTTTATTTTGAACCAATGTGAATAATACAGAAATGTTTCTTTAATTTAACTAATTGGAAACTGAATTTTATTTTGGAATACTAAAAACGCTACCAATAACCATCATTAAGGGAAAATACCATCCAAACCTTGAAAATACCTCCATTTTCCTCAGCCTAATAGCTTCAAGTTGTGTTAGACTTCAGCTCACTATGGCCATGCTGAAGGGAGTTATCAAAACAGGACTGGGACGGAGCACCAAGTTTAAAATGCTAAATGCCTTCTAGAAACACATATCAATTGTAGCATAAGCCCATGTTTTTATTACAAAATGGATATATTGTGAGAAAGGAGAATGAAGAAGAATAGCCAGCACTTCATTCCTGCTGGAATGTTTGTAGGGCAACAAATAGGAATGACGATTTGTCTGGGTAAGCTTGTGATAAGTTGTCCAGGATTCAGAACATGACAAAAGAGGGGGAATTGGAAACAGAATTACGACCTAGGATCCTTCTCTTTTTTCAGTCCTAGGATTTATATAATCGTGGTATTCTATCCTACCTGAACACCTTGCCCTTCAACTTGCCCTTCACTCCTACCAGTCTTCCCCCTCATCTCCAATAACCACATATTTACAGCTCTGACCTTCCTGTTTCAAGTACCAGGAGCTCCACGCAGCAAGAGCCATGTAGCCACTTCGTCTAATGCATTTGTTCTGATGTCAGCTTTTGTGGACAAGAACCCATTAACGCCAGATAGATTGAATCTTTTTATTTCAAAATGAAACATGAAAATTGATCTTGTTCCATAGATTGTTAACTATTCCTCCTCCCACACCCATATTAAAAAGCCATCTGCATCACTTAGCATGCTAAATTATTTGAGTTCTTTTGGTGCAGAATGTAGGTTTCTCACATGCAGAGTAAGAACTGCCCTCCCAATAAACGAAGATTTTCCTTGAGGCGGTTTTAGGTCAATTACATCAGCTGGTTTGAACATTAATGATGCCTGGAATCTTTCTATTGCATCTCTTTTTAGCTGTGACGGCAGATAACATTTTTAGTTGATGTCTGCATCCCCAGAAGATTACTGATTTTTCTGTAGCTTTAGATAATTAGATGCTGAAATCTGTGAAATGTACTCTGTGATTTAATCGTCTCCTGTTTTTGTTGCAGTGACAGCTATATTGTGAGAGTCAAAGCTGTGGTTATGACCCGAGATGACTCCAGTGGAGGATGGCTGCCCCAAGAAGGAGGTGGTCTTAGTAGGGTTGGTGTCTGCAAGATCCAGTGCACTGAGGCCAATGGAAGAAATGGGTTTCTCATCCACGGAGAAAGGCAAAAAGACAAACTGGTAAATTGAACTGATTTGGTATTGACTTTGGTCCCTCTTCCTCCAGAACCCGTCCCCCCTCCGTCTTTCTTAACATTTCCCAAAATCATACATGACACATCTACAAAACCTCTTAGTGTAAAAGGATGTTATCTATTGTTTTCAAAAAGAAGAGGGTGCATATTAATGTTTAAACTCTTTTTTCTGCTGTTGTTGTTGTTGTTGTTGTTACACAGCTTAACTCTGAGAATGGAAAACAACACATTTTTTTTCCAAAATTTGCTAAACAGATTCGAAATATTTAAAAAAAAAAAAAAAACTGACAAAGCCAGCCACATTATATGAGGTAATTCAGGCTTTTGCAATGGGAGTGAATTATTCATGCCATTTCATTGAAATAAAAGATGAGAGAGCAAAAATGCCAGGCTGATTGAAGCTTAGCTCTTTGCTGTGGCTGTTTATTGAACCCACAGCTTCCTGCTTCTTTGGAACAAATAAAATGGGGGGAGCAAATAAAATGATGGGAGTTCTCCCCTCACCCACTTTTAATCAGAAGGTGGCCCCTGTCCACAAATTGATTCTAGTCTAATCCAGAGATGAAATAATAAACTAAATTGATGACAGATACGTTTTTTGTTGCATCCTTAGGTCTTGTATGTAACAAAGGCCTGCAATAAAATGTTGCGGCGTGAAGTCTTCAGCTTCCCAGCCAGCTCTGCCTTTCTCAGCATTCCCCAAGTAGTGAAATATGATCCTAGCCAGGAAATACAATAAAGGGGAGACAATATTTATAAGGCAACGAGAATTTAGAAAGAACAAAACAAGTTAGTTAGTTGTGGGTTGAGTTACTGTTGGTAAAAGCAGAGTATGAACTAGCAGTAGGTTATACATTTTAGATACTTTAAATAAAGTAAGTTAATTATGTTTAGCAGACAGTCTCACTTGTAAAGAAAATCATTCCATCTTTTGCATTTTCCCCAACATAAATGTTCTGTGGCTACTGAACAAGCTCAGTCCTAATTGGGTTGCTTTGGGCTTTTCCCTCCCCATTAAGCCTTTCTGCCCCCCCCCTTCTTTAAAGAAGTTTATTTCCTCAAACCTTTGGGTTTCTCCAAGCTATCTGTTTGGCCCCTCAAGAGTAAAGTGGTACCATAGGATGTCTGCTAGTGACTAGGTGATCTGAGCATGCTTCTGCCTTCACTCTGCACCCCAAATTCTTCAGGGCTGTCACTGAAAGCACAGCCAGGGCTTCCTGCAACTTGTGTGAGTGTGCACATGCGCACCCCATCAACAGAAAGAAGGGTGCGTATTAACCAAGTTGCTTGCCCTTTCTTCGGGGAGTTCTGAATTGCAGTTGTAAGTTGCCCATCATGACTTAATGATGATTTGGTGGCATATAAGTTAAATAAATAAATAACTTAACCTATGGGTGGTTACGGTTATTTTATGTTAAGCACCAGTTATAATGCAGGTCTCACTTATTTTATTTTTATTTGTTTATTTACACAATTTATTAGTCAACCCCCCTCAGCCATCTTTTCCAGGCAACTCTGGGCAGCATACAGCAGGGTTAAAAAACAATCAATAAATACCTTAAAAAATATAAAAAGATAAAAAACCAAACTAAAATAAAAAAATAATAAGTAAAGAGATGTTAAAAATAACGGAGCCACCTCACTAGATCACCCTTCCCTTGAGGTCCCCAGTTCTGCTGGCATAACCAAGTCTTAAGGGACCTCCAGAAGGTCAACAATGACAAGGCCAACCTCACCTCAGGGGGGAGAAGATTCCACAGCGCAGGCACCACAGCAGAAAAGGCCTGCCACCTATAGCCCACCAGATGTAGCTCCCTGGGTGTCAGAACCCGTAACATGCCCCCTCTGCCAGACCTGATAGGACGGGCAGATAAAATCGGGGAGAAGCAGTCCCTCAAGTAGCCCAGACCCATGCCATGAAGGGCTTTAAAGGTCAACACCAGCACCTTGAATTAGACCTGGAAACAAACTGGAACCCAATGCAGCTCACAAAGCAGAGGTGTGATGTGTGTTCTACCACTATCCAAGTCTTAACCCATAAACCAATACATACGTGTTAACTATTTTTAGTTGAATGGGGAAACCGGCAAAGCTGCCTGCTGTCTGATAGTTCCCACAACCCTCAAATTCTTAACATTCAGGAAGCTGTTAAAAATGTGGTTGTTCTAGTGAGCTTTTGGGATAGTGGACAGCAAGTGGTTAAACCACTGATAAGTGGTGGTACTTTTAGAATGAATGTGGAATGCAATGATGAATTGGTTGTTATGGTTTGGTCATTTTTGAATGAGCTGGGCTTAAGAGATTCAGTTTTAAGATACCAGTTTGGAGACGTGCTTAGAGTCATAGGACCAAAACAGCTTGAAAGCACTATAAATAAATAAATTAAACTCTGGTATCTTCCAACTGGCCTGCCCACTGGGCTTGTATCTGTGTATTATGGTAGCTGTCGTCCAACATGTCCAGAGGATACCAAATTAGACAAGGCTGTAGCAGAGGGAGAAAAAAAACAGTGATTACATGGTTGGCCATGGGATGTGAGTGGTCAACGTGGTACTAACTATATCTATATACACTGGATTTCATTTTGCATGAAAAGGAGTACAGCTGTGTATGCTGAAATGATATATTTATACACACACACACCCGTGTGGAGAATAGGTTCCTAAAGAAGTTAAGCTTGGCTTTGCAGAGAGATGAAATACAGTGTGTAATATAAGAGTTTGTGTTCCTGTATCAACCAAGCAGGAAATGTTTAAAGCATGTTGTCTTCTCTCATTTAATTTTCCTGGTTTCTTGTGTTGAAAGGAGAGTCATGCCAAAACAACTGCAAAGTAAGCAGACTTAAATGACTTTTTTTTTAACCGTGCAAGAGGAAGTAATAAATTACACTAACAAACTCGTGCCCTTTGCTTGTAAATATCATCACTGCACATCTCTGCACTTTCACCTCAGGTGGTGCTGGAATGCTATGTGAAAAAAGACTTGATCTACACTAAAGCAAATCCTACATTTCACCACTGGAAAGTTGACAACCGAAAATTTGGACTCACTTTTCTAAGCCCTGCTGATGCACGAGCATTTGACAGAGGGGTGAGAAAAGCCATTGAAGATCTCACAGAAGGTACAAATCAGTATCCTACAACTTTAATGTGTGTAGCAAAATGGCTATCTTCTTCATCCCCCCCTTTTTTTTTTTGGGTGACCACTTTGAAGACAGAATGTCACATGTCTTTTGCTGAAGTCCTGCTACAGTACTTAAATTAGAGTCTTAACCTTCTGTATTGGCTTGCAGAGAATGTGATCCCAATTATTCAGCCAGTCTGTACTATCTAGGACAGTGTTCCTCAGCCTTGGTGACTTTAAGAAGTGTGGACTTCAACTCCCAGAATTCCCCAGCCAGCCAGGCTGGCTGGGGAATTCTGAGAGTTGAAGTCCACACTTCTTAAAGTCACCAAGGCTGAGAAACACTGATCCAGAAACTGTTATATTAGAAGGAACTGTGAGGTTAATGCAGAGTGAGCAAGTGTAATATATTTCTCATATTGTCAGTCTTTCTTTCTTTGTGTTTTCTTTAACTGCTGTTACCTTGCATAGACTTTTTAAGATTGGCGTTATCAGAGGAAGCAGTTAATTTTTTTTGCCAACTGACTCTTACTTTGTGCTTTTAAATCCTTTACATAGTTGCAGAGGGGCAAGGGGAAGTCCAAGTCCTAATTCACCTAAGGTGGCTGTTCGCATTTCTTTTTGCCATTCTAAAACACCAAACAATCAGGAATTCATCAAAAATACCCAGATAAAATGAGGTGGTTTTGTAAAAGCAAGAAAAAGGTTGTATTGGTCCCCAAGAAAATTGACCTGGGTTCTAAGCCTGCCCTCAGGCGCTTTGCTTCATTCCAGCACAACCCTCCGGCTCTTGTTTGACTTCGGACACGTGGGCTTAACATGTGGCTTATGAGACAGACGGCTGTGCCCAAAACAAATATTTGCCCTCCACTACCTTTTTGTAAATAAGCTGGCTGGAATATAATCTTGTATCTAAAGGAACAATACACATTTTAAAATGTCTTTGCAGGATCTACAACATCATCTTCCACAATCCACAATGAAACTGAAGTTGGAGATGACGATGTCTTCACTGTACGTATCTTCCATTTCGAATTCATTTTTGTGCTCTCTGAATGGCTTTTTCTTTTTCATGAAAAGTAGAGCCTGTAAGGTACTGATCACCATTCACACAAAGAGAAGGCGATTGCAAAAGTGAAAATAAAGTCTCCCTTGAGGAAAACTGAGTTTCTGGTGACAACACAGAGAGCTCCATGTTGCTTTCTTGGCAAGAATATTGAAATGGTTAGCCGCTGCCTTCTTCTAGAACACTGTTTTGATTTCCTAGTCTAGTCAACAGGCATAGCTATCCTGGTGGTCTCCCATCCAAATAATTACCAGGCCCAACCCTGCTTAGCTTTTTTGAGATCAGCCAACTTTGGCTAAGTGCTGCCAGCCACATGCAAATCTGCATATGAAAATATTAATTATTGATTTGTATATTTTGCGCTTTTTTGCTTTTCTGCAACAAAAATATAAGGCAAATTACAAAATAAATATGATGGCATAATTCTGCTGGTAAAAAAATAAGGAAAGATAACAAGATAACAAAATGAAAGGTGTCAACACAGTCTCTGACTTTAAAAATGCCATCCAGTTGATAAATTTATCCTGAGCAGCCATTCTAAAATTGAATTCTCACAGTTGATTTCCCCAGGAAAAGGGAACAGTTAACAAATCGAATGGAGTTGATAAATGCTGCTGTCCCACAGGCATCCCTAAGTGGGAATGGATCTATTGTTTCACTCCCTTCCCACCTCTTTTTTTGCTTCAAGTGGGAATACAGCTTCACCTCATGTAGGCTAGTAAATCTTCCAAGATCATCTGTCCCTCCAACCCTAGGAAGTAAGTAAATAGAAAAATATAACCTGTAGTGTCTTGCTTGCATTAATGCTTGGGTTCTTTTACCCATTTCAGAATGTTTTGTGGCACTAATTTAGAAATTCCCCTTCTTCCTTATGTTCAGGTAGGAAAAAGGAAGAAGAGAAGGGCTTATTAATGGCATTCCAGTTGTAATCTCCAAATGATCTGTTCCAGAAGCTCTGCTGGAGCAGATCTAAATAATCTATTTCAAACCGTGACACGGCTGAACCATATGCTCAGAGCCTGTGCCCCTCATCTGGTTTTTGTTTTGGTTTTTCTAAAGTATGCTTTTGCAAAAGACTGGTGTCTTTAGAAGGTCTACTGCTACAACTTCAAGATGAATCAGGACCTTGCTGTCCTTCAGGAAAGCATTTATCATCTCCTTGACCCAGTCGCTCAGCTCTGCCCTGGCAGATTTAATGAGTCATGACAGGCATGGTAGACCTTGTCATTCCACAGATTTGGTCCACCTTCTCAGGCTTCACAAACTGAAAAGTAAACTAGCTAGATAGAATCTCAGTGATTATCTAGATAGATTTTGTTTCAGTGCTTTGCATGATTTATTCATGGGAAATTATTTGAGAGGACAGCTTTTAAGAGATTCAGACACACCCACATTGTATTATGTTTATAAGCTATCTATCACTGAAGGAACAAAAGGCTCCCATTCATATACTGGCCTCAGCCTGCTCTCAAAACTTTTCAGGCTATCAGCATCACGGTGTGCTGTACCTTTGGCCCAGTTCTGCCTCTGGAATTTGGGCTGTAATTAAGCCTTAGCTCTCGCAACTGAAATTGCATGATGCTTCTGTATTTCCCTCTCCCTCTCTCCCCCTTCCCTGTCTTTGAATTTTCGTAGGTCAAAGTGTTCAGTTCCCTAAGGGAACTGAACCAGGCATGCAATATCCCTGACTTTTCCATTCAGAAAATTGGCTGTTTGATTCTTCACTAAATGAATGTAGGAAGCATTTGTAAAATACACCCCATCAAAGCTCTCAACTGAGGGACAAACATCCTCAGCCTGAAAGTGGTGTGGGTCTGACATAAGGTTTCCTGCAGCAATTGTGACCGGATCCTCTGTGACAGTTGGCATGTTGTTTTTATCTGTTCTCTAGTCTTATTGTAAGACAAACAACAGCAGGCAGGGTTAAAAGGTGACTTCCTTTCCTCCAGAGCAAAACTATCATTAGCCGCTGCTTCCCAGCTACCTGCCAGAAATGATTTATAGATTCCATGGTGGAGAAGGGAGGGAAGGAAGGCAGGGAGCGGGGGAGAGAATGACTTACTCTTCTGTACAATTAGATAGGAGCACAGGGTGAGAGTGTCCCAACAGATCAGTGTTTCCCAACCTTAGTAATGTTAAGATGAGTGGACTTCAACTCCCAGGATTCCTCAGCCAGCATGGCTGGCTGGGGAATTCTGGGAGTTGAAGTCCACTCATCTTAAAGTTGCTAAGGTTGAGAAACACTGCAATAGATAGATAGAGCTTTCTACAAATACTTATCCATGCTTACGTCGCTTTGAAATACCCAAAATACCAGTATATGTTGGTCCTAATATACCCCTGGAAACAAGCAGGTATGTGTTCTCTTCCTGGTCCCCTCAGACTTCGAAACTCCCCTACCTCCCCTTCCCTAAAAGAGATGTCTATTGCTCCTTTGGAAGATAAACTTTAATTACTTTTGAGTTCCAAGAGCTTAAGTTTTGTCTTCTCCCCCAGCCTGCTGCCCAAAACACACATTGCAATGAAAGGAACAAAAAATGATTCAGTTGTGGCTGAAATATGTTCTTTGTGTTTCACAGATGAAGCTCCTCTTTAGGGGACTCCTCTTCCATGTAACGTTTCCTTAACTCTTAAGCCTCTGATTTTTTTTCCACATGCTTGAAAATAAATTTCTTCAAGCTCCTTATACTGAACACTTGCTCTTCTCTAGAGGCAACCCGAGTAAAGCCACTTCAGTTCAGTTTGTCTTTTGTGAAAATGTACTAGATTGCCAGCAACAAAGTTTGTGCTTTGAGTCCATTTAAGCAACTCATCCTTTAGAAAACATTCCCCTGCAGAGAAGCACTACTGAGCCCTGTTTTCTTGCTTTCTTGTAACACACAGCCTCTCACTCTGTGCAACTGTTAGAGAAGCATCTGATGTGAGGTGATAAATATTTGGACTCTTCAGTGCTTCAGATTTAAAGGTATTTAGCTCCAGGCTGCAACTGCTTGGAGTGGCTGCATCTTTTCTCCAGATCACATGGCTGCTCTCCATTGCTGCAGCAGAGTCCTGGGGGGAAAAATGTTTTCTTTTAAGGAATTGCAAACAGGTGTCACATGGGAACCCCTGCACTCTCCGAAGCATCCTTTTACCTTCCAATGCAAAGCACTAGACACCTCAAGGAACTGGCATAATTGCTAACGTGCTTAATGATTGTGTGTCATCCTCAGGGTCAGCTTTTAGCAACCACATAGATAGATCTCCAGGATGATCTGTCCCCAACCCAGCCCCCATTCAGGTTTTCCAATAGGGCACCCAGTGCCACTGTCATTGAGTCTATCCACCTTGCTGCTGGTTGCCCTCTTTTTCCTTCAATCTTTGCCAACGTTATAGACTTCTCAAGAAAGCTGGGTCTTTGCATAATGTGTCCAAAATACAATAATTTGAGCCTAGTTATTTGTGCTTTGAGTGAGAACTCTAGATTGCTTTGTTTGATGATCCATTTGTGTATTTTCTTGACTGTGGATTATATTCTCAGAAGTTTTCTCCATCCAGTACCAAGGTTTAAAAGCGTCAGTATTCTTTCCAACCTGCTTCTACAAAACCCAACTTTTGTAGAGTGAGCACACTTGTTAAGAACTGTCAGTGTAAAATGAAGTGGTCTATTCCTACAACATTCTGTTTTTCCCTTGCAGTGGGCCAGTCTAAGCATTTTGAGAGCACTTGTCCATTTCCAGAAATGCATGTTCTAAAAGAGAGAGTATTTTAGATGATCTGGATGCTGTCTGGCTTCACCACATCTGGATTCACTTCTGGAATGGGATGGGCCACCCTGGATGATTTGGATCAGCTCATCCCTGGGGGAAAATGCAAGATTCTGGTGAAGAACAGGGTATTCCTGGAATGAACCACTTAATGTTGCACAAAACTAATAGTTATTGCAGTGTGGCAGTGGTTAGCACATTTTGTCAAAATCATTCCTTCCAATATAACCAGCTGGAAAAGTTAAAAGGTATATCAAATCATACTGTCCATAATGTAGAGATGCTGATTTTGGCAGGTTGAGAGTGGCACTTTAGAAGGCTGGAACTATGTTAAGTGGATAAAATGATAGATCGTAAAATTAGCACAAAGGGTGTACTGTTTCTTCTTAAAAAATCCATTTCAATGGAGACTCCATGATAAATCAAAAAGCCTTTAAAATAAACTTCTGGAACTGTATTGTCCAATTTTGGACCATCGCTAAAATTTGGACGTTTTGTTATCCAAATATAATAATCGTTACTTGAAGGTATGGTTCTTTTGCTCTAAAAAGCCCTTGTTCCATAATCTTGGCTTCTCTAAACATGCTGCCATTTCATCTAGCAAGCTATTTGTTTTATGCTGCAACCAAACTGGAAATAACCGCTAAAAAATAATGGCCTGCATATAGATTCCAGAATATGCATTTAAAATTAGTCTAAGGAATTACCAACAATGCTAGATCCCAGTTCCTAAAGCAGAACTTGGCAATTACTTTTTCCACCCTTCATTGATGACTGTATCTCATGCTAAGACAGCGCTGAAGCAAATTCCAGGTAAGAGTAGAGCCAAAATGGGTGCCTCCTCCCTGCACATTCTGTCATTCTGGCACCTTTGCTTTTTTTTTTTCCCCCTCCCCTCCCTCTCAAGAACAAAGTTTTGAGTTGAATACTTGCAAAGGGTTTATAAGAATGACCAGAGGTTGCCCGTGCCTTCCCCTTTGGCTGAAAGAACACCCCTTCTTCCAGCTTCTGTGGTGTCCAAGCATTCTGCGTCCTTTACATGCAATATTTACTTGCTAGGGCAGGTCTTCCTGATTTGTTAGCACTTTGAGTTGTTGTTGTTCAGTCGTTAAGTCGTGTCTGACTCTTCGTGACCCCATGAACCATATT